ATTCATTCATTCATTCATTCATTCATTCATTTTATGATTTTAAAAAATGTTTTTTATTTATTTTTTGAGAGAGTGCAAGCAGGGGAGGGGCAGAGAGGGGGGGGACAGAGGATCCGAAGCGGGCTCTGCGCGACAGCAGAGAGCCCGATGCGGGGCTTGAACTCACGAACTGTGAGATCATGCCCTGAGCCCAAGTCGGGCACTCACTGACTGAGCCACCCAGGTGCCCCCAAAAGCATTTTATTATGTGAACATTTAAATGTACAGGAACACATGGGGCGGTGGGCGGCTCAGTCAGCTAAGCGTCCGGCTTTTGATCTCCGCTCGGGTCATGATCTCACAGTCTGTGGGTTCAAGCCCCTCATTGGGCTCCGTGCTGACAGGGTGGGGCCTGCTTGGGAGTCTCTCTCTCTCTCCCTCTCTCTTTCCCATCCCCGTTCATGCTTGTGCTCTTTCTGTCTCTCTCTCTCTCTCTCTCTCTGTGTCTCTCAAAAATAAATAAATAAACTTAAACAGTTTTAAGAATTTAAAAAACATATGGAAACATAGAAAACGTATACAGCAGAGATGCATATTTCCACTGAGGTAGGAGATTCTAAGCTGCGATGCTAGGAGGAGAAGGGAAGAGCTATAGAGACAGGTGGGACACATGAGTGACCCTTTGCTGGTGACCTGAGTCCCTCGAGGAAGCGGCCTGGGGCAGGAAAAGAACAGCTAGCTTCATTGTTCACTACCTGTGTGGGTGACCTTGGCAGGTGACCTCCGTCCGCGCCTCCTTTCCCTCATTCATTCATCCGTGAGTGCACAGCAGATATTTCTTGAGCACCTACTGCGTCCTCCAAATGGTTCCAGGCCCCAGGACGTAGTGGTGAGCCTGACCGATGGGCGTCTCTGCCTCACGGGATCACGTTCTAGGGAAGGACCCAGGTCTTCAAGACGGCGAAGACGGAGGGGCGCCTGGTTGGCCCGGTCGGTGGAGCATATCCGACTCTTGATCTTGGGGGTGTGAGTTCGAGCCCCATGTCGGGGTAGAGTTCACTTAAAAGAGTTTAAAAAAAAAAAAAAAAGACGGTAAGGAAGTGAAATGTGTGAAGAGGCGCCAAGTACTGAGGAGGAAGTTGCCAGATCAAGCAGAGGGCACCCGGTTTATTTGTTTCCAACTGCTGCCATCACAAATCACCGTAAAGCGGGTGGCCGAAAACCACAGAAATTTGTTCTCTCGGAGTTCGGGAGGCCAGAAGTCCAAAATCAAAGTGTGGGCGGGGTGGGTTTCTCGCGGAGGCTCTGAGGGGGGAACCACCCCGTGCCCGGTCCTGGAGGACAGTGACTGTCATTGTCAGCCTTCCTTGGCTCGTAGCCACGACGGTCCAATCTCTGTCTCCGTCTTCACATCACCTTCTTCTCTGTGGCCCTGCGTGCCCTTCTCTGTCTCCTATAAAGGCCACCGTCACTGGATATAGGGCCCACCCGAATCCAGGATGGTCTCACCCTGGGATTCTTACTCCTTAGACCTGCAAAGTCCCTATTTCCAAATGAAGTCAGATTCTGAGGTTCTGAGGGGACACCATTCAACCCTCTCCACCTCGTTAAATTTGAATTTCAGATAAGCTGGGAATAATTTTTTTTTTTTTTTAGTATAATCATGTCCTAGGTAACGCAGTCCTCAAATATTGCACGGGACATACGGAGGCCGAATAATTATTAGTTGTTGATCTAGAAATCAAATCTCACCTGGTATACTGTATTTTTTTTTTTTTTTTGTGGCTAAATCTGGTAACCCTAATTAAGAAGAAATTAGAGGGGCGCCTGGGTGGCGCAGTCGGTTAAGCGTCCGACTTCAGCCAGGTCATGATCTTGTGGTCCGTGAGTTCGAGCCTCGCGTCAGGCTCTGGGCTGATGGCTCAGAGCCTGGAGCCTGTTTCCGATTCTGTGTCTCCCTCTCTCTCTGCCCCTCCCCCGTTCATGCTCTGTCTCTCTCTGTCCCAAAAATAAAATAAAAAATAAAAAAAAAAAAAAAGAAGAAATTAGAAAACAGGAATGTTTTGCAATGATAGGGAGAGTAGTCAGGGGAGGCCTCACTGAGGCGGCGACATTTGAGCAGAGACCAGAAGGAGGCAAGAGGGAGAGCCATGAGGAGATCTGTGGGAACAGTAAGTGCAAAGGCCCTGCGGCAGGGCTGTGCATGGTGTATAGGAGGGATAGCAAGGAGGCTGGTGGGGCTAGAGCTGAGTGAGCACAGGGGAGAGGGCTGGAGATGAGGGCCCAGAGCCTTGTGGGACACAGTGAGGACTTTGCTTGGACTCCAAGTGATGTGGAAGCCACCAGAGGGCTCTAAGCAGCGGGATGTAAGCTGCCTTCTATTACGACGGGCGCCCTCCGGCGGCTTCCCGGGGAACGGACTGGGTTGGGGCTGGAGGATGGGAGCAGGGCAAGGGCAAGGGGGGGCTCAGACTTGGCGCGTGGAGGAGGAGGGGTGGTGGGAAGAAGTGGTTGGATTCTGGATCCGTTTTGAATGGGGGTCCATCAGGGATTTGCCGATGGGTTCAGGGTGGGCACCTGGAAGGATGGGCTTGGACGCTTCTAAGCTGGGTAATGTGGCGGGAGGAGCAGGTCTGGGGAGGGGTCTCAGGACCCCAGTTTGGGACGTAGTGCCTTTGAGAGGATGCCCGTCGGGTGCCCGCGCGGAGGTGTCGAGACGCCCGTCGGACGTCTGTGGCCACGCGTCGAGTAGGCTCTTGGCATGTAAGTCCGGCGCACAGGACCCACCTGAGCAGCAGACTCGGGCCCGTACCCTGCCCTCGGACAGCTGAACTTGGGTGGCAGGGACAGTTGTGAGTCAGACACCCTCCCCCGACGAACAGATACAGCCACACAGTGAACTCCCAGGGTGCAGTTCGTGCCAGCGCGTAACGAAGCTTGACCTTGGTTTCTGAACCGAAGTCTGTGTGCGTATCAGAAAACGCACCCCTTTCTGTCGCCTGGTGCTGTGCACGCGACATTGGCAGCTGCTAGCCCCATGTGGCTGTTTAAATGTGAGGGCGCTGAAATGAAATAAAATTTAGAAATTCCGTCCGAAATTTCAGTTGTGTTCGCCGTGTTTCAAGTGTTCCGGAGCCACCGGTGACCAGTGGTGAGGTATTGGATGGTGCAGATCTAGATGTTTCTATCCTTGGAGGCAGTTCTTTTGGAATGTGCTGCTCTAGACCCTTTATTTCCATCTGAAAGGGCGACTGTTCCGATAAATGTATGGGTCGACAGCATCTACAACGGTGCTTATGTTAGACTGGCACATTTGTGCAGCGTACAATCTGCCCAACCACGCAAGGCGGCTCTGCTCAGCCTGAGGAATGGAGGGGGGCTTTTTGAGGGCGAGAAGGGAGCTGGAATACGATAGAAGAGTGGGACTTCAGTCGCGGAAAGGGAAGGAGGAGGGGAGTGGGGGGCAGGGAGAGTCTCTTAACAGCATGTACAACATCCCTGTGACTGGAGGAACTAAAACCATTGTGAGCCACCAAGGGGGACCGTGGTGTTAGGTCCTGGGAGGCCTTGCGGGAAGGACACGGTCCAGAGCACGGTCCTACTTCCTGAGGGCAGTGGGAGCCTCGGAATGAGTTTTGCAGGAGATTGACATGGTTACATGTGTAATTCCTGATATGCCACTTCCTGGCTGTGTGACCTCAGGCAGTTCCTTAACCTCTCTGTGCCTCATTTCCCACATCTCTAAACGAGGATAACCACAGGGGCCATCGTCACCTTATGTGCATAACGCGTGCACAACCTGCTTCAAACAGTGCCCGACACACAGCAAGCGCTATATAACCGCGCGTTATCATTTATTACTGTTGTTCTCGTGGTGCGATGGAATCTCGGCTGCCGTGTAGACAGGACAGGTGGTTGAGGGTGGGGCGAGGGGCTTTGGGGAGGCCACTGAGAAGGCCGCTGGACTCATCCAGGTAGGAAGAGGAGTTGGTGGTGTGGACGGGGTGGGGCCAGTGGGCAAAGGGGGCCTGTTTCGGAGGGAGAATCAGCAGGGTTCAACGTGTGGGGGAGGGGAGGAGCCGGGGGTCACCTGCGGCCTCCAGGTTTCTGGCCGGAAGCCCTGCGTGGATGTCAAGTGCCCAGCGGAGAATCTAGCGCGCGGCGGATGCTTGCCGAATACCGATTTCTCGCTCTCTCCTCCAGCTCTGAGCTTCCCTCCCTGTCAAACCCCAGCTCTGTCCGGGAAGTGAAATTTCTCAAGGTCACTCTCTGAGTCTGAGAACAGGAGGGACTTCCGGCACGGGGGG